ACTGTGGTGTCAATTTCAAGAACCTGGTTCTTCAACTCAATATTTTTTCCATCACTTTCACTAGACCTGAGTTCCAGATTTTTACACTTAGCTTCTAGAATCACACATTCCTTAGGCAGCTGTTCCTTCTCATTGTTTATGGCCTCAGACTCATCAATGAAATCTAGTAGTAATTCATATAGCCTTTCTTTAGATAAAAATTTAATCTTGTTTTTGAGATGAGTCACACTTACCTCTTGTTCATCATCTGATTCTCCAATGGCCATAAGTGCTTGTTCATCTCCATCTTCATCTTTTGAATCCTCATCTAAGCTTTCTCCCCAAGAATCAACCATAGCCTTTGTTGATCCTTTGTTCTTCTTGGGTTGAACCTGTTCCTTCTTCCCGTTTCTCCGTTCATCCCTTTCTTTCTTCCATTCAATTTCTCACTGAGAATAATTCTTGATCATGTGGTCAGTCTTACCACATTTGTAGCAGCCCTCGTTGGTCTGTTTTTTCAGGAGGTCTTGGTTTGTTGAAGGTTGCACCTCTTGAATACCCCTTTCCTCTCATTAAGTACTTCTTGAAATCCCTAGTGATCATAGCCATTTCATCATCCTCTAAGTTTGCACTTTCAGCTGTTTTGAGAGCCAGGTTTCTTTCTTTCTTGGGTGCATCCATCTTCATGGTTTGCCTTCTCAATTCATAGGCAGTGAGATTTCCAATCAGTTCATCTAGCTTAAGAGTAGCAATGTTCTTTGATTCCTGAATAGCTGTGATTTTGCTTTCCCAAGTTACTGGCAAGACCCTTGTCAAGATTTTCTCAACCTTGTCTTCCTCAAGGATAATTCTTCCAAGAGACTTAAGTTCATTTGTTAGTGTTGTGAACCTTGTATACATCTCTTGGATGGTTTCTCCTTCCTTCATGGTGAAATTCTCATATTGAGAATACAACAGTGTTCCTCTTGATCTCTTTAATTGAGGAGTTCCTTCATGGGCCACTTGTAGAGTGTCCCAGATCTCCTTAGCAGTAGTACAATTTTGAATTCTGCTGTACTCGTCTAGACCTAGTCCACACACAAGTCATTTCTTGGCCTTGGCATTCTTTTCCCACTTCTTCAAATCTTCACCAGTACAATCAGCTCTAGTCTTTGGCAGATCCACTCCTTCAGCATTCTTCTTTGTAGTAGCCAGAGGACCATCAGTAAAAATATCCCAAAGTTCATAGTCTTCTCCTATGATGTGGTCTCTCATCATGTTCTTCCACCAGGAATAGTACTGGCCATTAAAGAGTGGAGGCCTAGCAGTGGATTGTCGTTTCCAGTTTTCAGGTGGTGCACTCATCTTGATCTATTCCTAAGGTGTTAGCCTCTTCAAGGATAACCCGCTCTTATACCAATTGATATTTTATACTTCAATACCACACAAGAGGGGGGGTGATTTGTGTGGTACCCAATTTTCGCTTAGCTTGATTAAGAAGGACCTGGTTCTTCTATGTGTTCCAACTACTACTGTTGCGGAATAATAAATATAAAAATAAAGAACACAGAGATTTTACGTGGAAAACACCTGGCTCAAAAGGTGAAAAAATCATGACCTACTTTCCAGTAGGATTTTTCCAAACTCTCCACTAAAATCACTGATCCAAAAACTGCATTTACAAAAACTCTTTTGTAAATCTAGGATTAACTCTATTCTCGTTGTGGCACACAGCCTCAACTGTTATGACAACTTCAAGTTAACTCTAACTTGAAAACTCTAAGTACCTAATACAATTGCTTCTAAATAAGCTTAAAGGTACAATGTAAAATCACCTACAACAATTGAACTAGAATAAAAAGACAAACATTTGGAACTGGTTCTTTTATCTGGTTCAAGTAGCGTCAGGTTTGCACGCTTGAATCACACATAAATTGCTTGTAAAATTGCCTTGCTATTTTGCTCTCAGTTCACGTTTAACTTCTGCTTATGTGCATTACCTGTAAAAGAGAACAACACTGATATTTATGGAGTAGATTGACTAGAATACAAATACTATTCTTCCTTGGTGGAAGATTTCTAGTTGGTCTCATCCTCTAACTTTATCCATTTCTTGAGCCGTGTTTCTCTTTGTATAAGGAGTCTTTCTCCTTATCCAATATGCAACCTTTTCGATCATGATCAGGAGATATCACTTCTGATAAGTTAGGTTTATCTCCTTCACGTGCATCTCACATGTTTGAGTTGATCATAACTGTGCTTCACAAGATGAACTTGGTCCATGTCTGAGTTCCTTCGTCAATCTTCAAAACTTCACCTTTACTTGTGCCAACACATATTTACTTTTCCCTGCATAAGTGTCAAACCTCTAATCAAGAAGTTGAACATTAGGCAAACCTCAGCTGTTGGCAGTCTGAACTCATCAGCTTCTTCTTTAATATTGAGCTTCAGTTCTGCTTCAGCGTACTCCACTTCTCTTTCCCTTTCCTCATCAATAGCTTTTGATCACTTCCTTATAAGATCAGTATCATCTACATCTGAATCAGAATCGACATCCGAATCTGAAATAACATCTGAGCCATTGTCTGCAACATAAATGCCAAAACAAAGAAGCATGGCTAGTGAGTCATAAAATCATGGCGGATGGCTAAAATTACTATACGGATGCTCTAAGTCACAGTACCAGCATCACTGCTTGCTAATATATCAGCAGTAAAGAGGTCATCCCCGTCAGAAGACATATCAGAATCCGAGTTCATTTCCTGCTGTTCTTCATCACGAAAACCTCCATCATCGTCTTCAAAATCCCCATCTGTTCCTTCACTGTCACTAAAAGGATCCTCCTTTTCTAGTGGCTTAGGTGGCAAAGGTTCCTTCTTTTGCTTCTTCTTGGTAGGGGGTTTCCCTCCCGCTATCTTGCCGAGTTTGGGACCAACCATTTAAGCTACAGTGCAACAAAAAGTGTCAGCATCAAGCTACCCTTGATTTCCCAATTTGGATGGATTTCCATATGCACAAAATTTAAAGAATCATCAAAGACAAAGTAACTTCTCCCTTGCGCTACCAAACTAGTTCATCCTCTAGTTAGCACACTCTTAGTTTCATCATAACAAAAAATAAAATCTCCGGGATCGAACACAAACTTTAATCACCAAATATCAACAAACTTTCCAATTAAAACTTTACATGACAACTTAAGAAACAATAGACAAGGTTCTTCACAGGTGATCACATAAGAATCTTTACCTCAATAGCTTTAGATAAGCATAAGCCAAATGTTTACATACAACTCTTACTTTTAGGCAAAATAACAACCTCTTGACAAGAAGCATGCCAAAGTGTTAGCTCAAGGCTGCTATTTTCCTTTAAAAACTTGCCCCTTGTTGGTATAAAAGCTTCCTAATTTACATCCAAAAATTGTACCACAGAATTTTTTTTCTCTATAATCTATAGTAATTAAATATTACTATTACACGTTAGCAGCGCTGCAGCAGAGTCACTCACCAAAGGCTTTTGTACTTAGTCAATTAAATTTTCATATTAAAACGAAAACTAGAAAACAGTCACAAATTCAAGCCAATAAAAATCACTTCAAAAAGGCATTTAGAGTGGAAGATGAACATACATACGCTTTAATTTGATTTCGCATAGTGCAGAAAGAGGAGACACATGGAGGAAGCGGGGCTGAATTTATTTAAAAAGTGGATACAAGTTAAAAATTTTTAAAAAAATTAGGTATAGGTTAAATGGGGCGACCAAATAGGACGGTCGGTGTAATTTTTACCAAGGAAGCGGCTGAGCGGGGGAATTAATTCGAGTATTGGACACAACTTTTGGTTTGGGTCTACTATTTCATCCCTTCTTTGGATTATTGTTCTTTCGGGCCAATTGAAAAGGTTGTGGGCTTTGACACAAGCTCATCCAATCAAATACAGTCCAAATGTTTTATTACTCTTTTTTTTTTTTAATGTTTTATTTCTCAATAAAACAAATTTATACGTATACTAATTAATTTTAGCATATGCAAATTCATACAAATTTGCACTAAAACAAATTTATACATATGCTAATTAATTTTATATGAAGTACGCAACT